CCTAGTCATAGAATCTGGGGATTCAGATGTGTATGGGGGGATCCAGGGCCCCCCAAAACTGTTCCCCCACTGGACACTACAGCTGAACTTCTGCCATGGCTGTGTTTGGCCAGCCTAGAATCCTCTCACTCAGTTCAAGAGACATCTCTTGCTGTTCATGAGAACAGCTCTAAGTGATGTGTGGCTCCAGCATGCAGTCTGCCAAAAACCCCTAACAGACAGGGCTCCTTTGACCTAGAAATTCCAGGAATTTATCCTAAAAATACACTCACAAGTAGCCAAAGATATACGTGCAAGGACATAACTTGCCCCCTTCCCTGTGATTAGGAAAAAACATGGGAACAGCTTGCAAGTTCAGTAACAGGCACCAGTGAGACAAATCGTGGAACATTCCCAGGACAGAATCCAATCCTGGGTGCCACCGCAAATGATACGGAATGACATGGAAACGTGTTTACAGTATACTGTTAACTGAGGGAAAATAGGCTTTCAAGTAATAGGTACAGTTGGAACCTATTTTCACACAAAGTCACGTATTTGTATTTGCATTGGGAAAAGTGCAGAAGGAGAGATACTAAGATACCAGCTGTGGTTATCTTGGGGTGAGGGTAGGATTTTTTTCACCACTGTGAATATTTTGTGAATATTTTTTCACCATTGTGTATATTATGTACAATATTTAGGGAAGCCCTATTCAGTGCTTAGTACTCTACTGGTTAGTAAGTAGGGCCTCTTCTGTCTTTATGAATTAGAATTTCACAGGAGACTGCTTGCTTACTTTTCTTCGTTTCTTGAGTGAACTTTCATTACTTGTACAATTCTTTTTTTACAGTAAACACTTTTTAGAATTGTGGTAAAACATACATAACATGAAATTTACAATTTTAACTCTTTTTAAGCGTACAATTCAGTGGCATGAAGTACATTCACCATGTGTAACCATTACCATTATCCATTTCCAGAACTTTCTCATCATCCCAAACAAACTCTGTCCCCATTAAACATTAACTCCCTCTCCCCACTGCCCCCAGTCCCTGGAAACCACCACTCTTTCTATCTCTATGAATTTGCCTGTTCTAGTATTGCATATAAATTTAATAATAAAATATTGATTCTTTTGTGTCTGCCTTATTGCACTTAGCAAAATGTTTTGAAGTGTAATTTTTAATTTTTTTCAGAACACCTTTTGAGGGGAAAATGCAATTGCCAAGGTCTAAGAAATACAGGCCACCCCGAACAGGCTCTATGCAGCCCGTCTCCCCTGAGCAGGGGCCCCCAGCAGCGTACACCTGAGCTGGGCAGAACCGCAGGCCCCCACCTCAGCTCCCAGGGATCTGGCCGCGGGCCTCCTGGTCTTCTAGGATGTTTGTAAACACCCAGAGACCAGAGCCCCTTCCAGGAACAGGCCTGTGTTCTCAGTGACTGTAACAAGTGGAATTTCACTCTCCACTGGAAACAATCCCCAGGGCATTGTGTTTCTGAATCCAGGGATGAAGCTGCCTGGCTGAATAGTATACATTCTCTAAATTATTAAACAGTGGCTGTCACATTGGGATCACCAGTGCAAGTCCCCTGAGCAGCAGTTTGGTTCTCAGCATGACAGGCACGCCAGGCCCCCACCCCCCATCACAGCTCTACTGCCTGGAGGCCAAGAGGTGGCCCCAGGGGCGCTGGGAAAGGGCAAGACTGAGTCTCGTGAAAACAGGATGGAACTCCCTGTAGGGAGCGAGGTCTGCACTTGGACAGGAACTGGGCTCCCTGTCACCTCTGACCTCCAGTGGCAGGGTGAGGCAGCCAGGACTGGGCACCAGACTGGCCCTGTGAACTTCAGCACAGAATTTATACTAAGCTTGTCCTCATCCCATCTGTCAAATAAGGCAGCAAAGCACACAAGCCCACCCCTATCTGATTTTGTGAATCCCTGGCCCTTTGAGGTGCTGTGGCCCTCGTACAAAAGTCCAGGAAGGACTGTGATATAAGGCCTAGAAGAACTGACGTGGCTCCCAGTTAAGTCAGTTACGCACTGCTGCTGTCTGAATCGTGGACTCTCTACCCTGCATCCACCAGCTTGCCTTTCCTGGCCTCCAGCTTTCTACTCAGACTCCCGGGGCAGGAGCTGGCTGATCATCCCTGGAGGGGAAAGCTGGGCCCAAACCCTCCCCTGCTCAGTAAGGAGCCCCAGTGAAGAGGAAGGGGCTTTGCTAAGGCACCACTGAGTCGTGGTTAGGATCCCCGTCTTCTGACTTTAGTTATTCCCCTGCCAGAAATCCCAGGACAGAGCTCCTGGTAAGAGGTGAGGATGGAGAAAGCTCCCTCTGTGAGCAGAAGCAGACATGCTACTTTATTGGTTTAGGGCGGTTATTGAATAACCCAGGATGCAGTGAGGCTAGGGAACAAGGACGCAGCCACCCTGGGCCAGCAAGCAGCAAAAGGGACACTAAATGTTATGACTCAGGTTGGAATGGGGCCAGGGCAGCTGCCCAAGAGGCTTTGAACGTTGTGGGGTGTTGTTCTTGGGGCCCCTTGAGAAGGATGTGACTTTTGGTCTTAAACGGTTTCCTCGCAGATAATCCCTTCACCCATTTACAAGGAAGGAGTCCTCACCAGCCCTAAGGCCAGTGGTGGCCTTAGCCCAGCTCATCCTGGGAAGTCTCAGGTCTCGCCGTAGCTGACAGCAGGGACCACTTCTCCATCTGCAAGAACAGAACCCAGGCCAGCTCTGGCTCTCATGTGGTTCCATCCTTGCTGGTTCCTTGCTGCCTAAGGATGCACTGAATGGAGAAGATGCCACAAGTCCAGTCTGTCTGTGCTGCTTCGTAACTGTCGAGGCACCCCCATTTTATAAAGAGCCAAAAGTGAGGCCCCGTGAAGCAGCCCAAATTACAAAAGAAAAAGGGGTGCCAGATGCTGGGGGTCTGAACCACAAGTCTGGAATCCTGGGGTCAGGTCTGATTGCCCAAGTCAGGACTGGTGTGGTAGACCTGGAGGACGCACAAATGGGCAAGTGGCATGAGAAAGGGGACAGACCAGCCTTGGAAAGGGAGGGGCCTTAGTTTGGGAAGATAAAGAGGGGATGAGATCAGCGGCCACGCGGTTGTGAACAGTATTTCAAGGCTAATGTAGACCCGCTCACCGACCCTCAGAACTACCTGGGAAGGTGACAGAAGTGAAGCCAAGCCCCATTGTTTAATTAAGTTTTTTTCTGGAGGGGAGGTAATTAAGTTTACTTATTTATTTCTAGAGAGGATACTGGGGATTGAACCCTGGACCTCGTGTATCCTAAGCATGCGTTCTACCACTTGAGCTATACCCTCCCCCTCAAGCCAAGCCCATAGTTAACTGAACAAAGCTCACCTATCTTGAGCAGGGAGAGGATAAATGGATTCAGAAAATGTTTAGAGACATACACAGTTGAATGTGTCATAAAACTAGGTTTGGCTGAATCAAGGGTCACTGGGGTGTATTCCTGCTGCGTTAGTCAGGGATCTCCAGAGAAGCAGAACCAGTTTGCTATAAACAGGCCGAGAAGTCCCACGGTCTGCTGACGGCAAGCTGGAGACCCAGGGGAGCTGATGGTGTAAGTCCTGGTCCAAGTCAGAAGGCACGAGCACCAGGAGTGCCGATGGACAGGAGATAGAGGTCTGAGCTCTAGGAGAGAACAAATTCGCCCTTCCTCCACCTTTTCATTCTATTCAGGTTGTCAGGAGACTGGAGGATGCCCACCCACGTGGGTGACAGGTGACGATGATCTTCTTTTTCAGTCGACCCATTTGAATGCTAATCTCTCCTAGAAGAACCCTTACAGACATGTTTTACCAGCTGTCTGGGCATCCTTTAGCCCAGTCAGGTTCACACATAAACCATCTCACTTTGCCTTATCCAAATGCCCCTTCGAGAGACAGAGCCTGGTCAGGGACCACAGAAGATGCTAGTACTCAGGGATGATCTAGTCCATTCTGCTCCATGGATGGCCATTCTCCTAGTTCTGGACATGTCTCACCCAAAGCACTGGGCTCCGTGCTCAGAGACAGACAGTCAGGGCTTCCTTGCTGAATCTTACCTTCTCAGAGGGTTTACACTGAAGAGAAGGGAGAGCATTCTGGGAGGTAACTGGGCTTTATATTTTAAGACCTTGAAAATGTGCACCCTCCCTGACACAAGTCGACTCATTAGCAGTCATCTGGAAATGATCAGGGATGCAGATGAAGTCTAAGGCCTAGGCAGTTCACCATAGCATTCTGTATAGTAACAAAAAGTGGGGAGCCTCAGCAGCCAAAAGTGGAAGATGATGAAATAAATTAGGGTACAACCACAGAATAGCGTGTTATGCAGCTGTTAAAATTTGTTCTCTCAAAGAATGTTTGAATAAATGGGGAAATGCTCAAAGTACACACCATAGGTTAAAAAAAGAATACAAAACTGCATATACCAGTGCAGTCCAACAGAATTGTGTTGATGGAAATGTTTGAAATTCTCCAATATCGTAGCCACTAAGTCATGTGTGACTACTGATCACTCAAAATCTTTGGCTAGTGTGACTAAGGAACTGAATTTTGAATTCTAATGAATTTAAACCACACGTGGTTACTAGCTTCTGTACTGAGCTGAACAGGTACAGTGTAACTCCAACTGTGTCAAGAAAAAGATGTAAACACCTGGGAAAAAAGACTGAGCGTATCCTGAAATGTACACAGCAGTTTTCTCTGTTAGTAAGACTACGGGAGATTTAAGTTTTAATTTTCCTGCTTTTAAATTTTCCAGCAATGAACTGTTTCCTTCTATAATCAGGAGGAAAAAGAGGTGTATTGGAGAGGTAAGAGACAGGACAAGCCCAGGGCAGGCAAAGCTTGTGGTGGCAGGAAGGCCAGGCGCTGGCCAAGCTGGCTAGGGAGCTGGAGCCATCTGCCTCGTGCAGGGCTTGTTTTCTTTCGGGGGGGTGTTGTGCCTCTGGTGGCTTGGGTCTTCTCTAAGCTGCCAGGCAACCTCGCTGACACACTCACCTTGGTTTAGCTGGGGCAAGCATGTGTGTGCGTGCACGTGGCTCCTGCTATCTGTTGCCAACTTGGCAGCGGAGGGTTGCCCTCTTCAGCTGTTTGCTGGGACTTGGGTGGATTTTGTTGCTTGAATGTCTCACTTGCTTCTCAGGTCTCACTTTTGATGCTTCTCCAAATGACCAATGACTTTAAGGAGCTTTCAGCTAAGCTCCTCACTGGGCCTCCAATGACTTTGAAGGTAGGAGAAAGTTCCTGCAGGTGGGTCTCAGCAGACGGAAGGAAGGAAACCTGGGTTATTCATTATGGCTTGCTGATGTGTGAGGAATTTAGAAGTTTGAATTATTTGAAGTGGTGAGAATAAAGGAAGATGGAATTTTCCTAAATACATAGCTGGAGGCTTTTACAATTTTTATAAGTAGGGAGGCCACAAGCAGTGGTTCTCAAACTCCAGAGTGCTTAAGAACTACCTGGTTGCTTGTTTGGAATGTAGACTCCTAGTGCTAAACCCTCAGTGCCATTTAGCACCCCCTACTTTACAGATGCAGAAGTGGGGGCAGGGGAGGTCAAGCCACATGCCTGAAGTCACCTTCACTGGAGAGTCAGGACACCAGGGTTCTAATCCCAGTTCTGCTGACATTGACTAATTCATTTTGCTGCCCTTAAATTTCAAGCTCATTTATTCAGGTCGACAACCATTTATTTGCAACTAACAAGTCAAGGCCTGCTGCATCATCTTTCTAACATACGGCCTGTTCGTGTCCTGTCTCTGTGCATCTGTCAAGGCCACGTGGGCAAGGGGAAGGATGACTTGGCAGGTCTCACACCATCAGCTGTGCTGGGAGGGGGGGCACATGGCCTGGCCCAGACCCCTCAGCTCCCGCAGCCGCCCAACCTACTCTTCAAAGAATGGGGAGTTGGGGGAGGCACCTGGTAGTTCATCTACATGAATCACTCATCTCCAGGGGAATGTTCCAGCAGCCGCTCGGGGTGATCATCCTGGAATGCCTCCTAGCCCAGAATGGGATGCAAAGAAAGCTCCTTGACACCAGGCAAGCTCATCACCATGGCAACAGACCGTCCCTTGGATATCTCTCCATAAGGAGGCTGACAGAGGTGACGTAAATTTAAGCATGGAGTTGTATTACTTAAAAAAAATTATCTTGAAATATTACAGATAAATAGAAAAGTATAATAAATGTCTGTGTCCTCACCTCCCAATTTAAGATTTAAAACCACATCGTTAAACAATGCACCTTTGTTATCTTTCTTTGATCATACAATCTTCCCCATGCCATGAGAGGTAACCACTAATGATGAATTTAATGTTTACCCTCCATTTGTTTATATATATATAATTACATATTATATATATTCTGAATCAATGTACATCTTTCGTTATGTTTTAAAAATTTTATTAAGGTGAGATTCATGTAACAAAATTAACCGTTTTAAAGTGTACAATTCAGTGGCACTTAGCGCATTCACAACGTTGGGTAACCATCACCTCTGTGTTCACATGCTTTTGAACTTGTGTAACTGGGATTACGTATCAGGTCTTTTGCAACTTAATTTTTGCATTGATGCTGCTTAAGAGGTTCATCTGTGTGATGCATGTAGCCCTGGTCCATTCATTTCACTGCTATGTCGTAGTCCACGGCGTGGCTATTTCACAACTGATTCTTTCTCCTGATGGGCACAGGGCAGTCTCCAGGATTTTACTATCACTGATAAGCCTGCCTCCTTGTGCACATGCTGGTGCTTCTCTAGGATGTCAACTCAGCAGTACAGTTGCTGTGTCATGGGCCAAGTACAGATCCAGATTTATCAGACGTCGCCCAAGTGTTCTTCAAAGTGGTGCTAATTTATACTCACAGAAGCTTGGCTGTCTTCGGGAGCTGGGAGCCAAGTGCACAATTTAATTAGAGTAACTTAACACTTGGATAGTATATTTCATTTAATAAAATGCTGTGGGGTAGGCAGAGCAGGATTATTAAGCATTCTCAGAAATCTTTTGAGAACAAGGAATCTGAGATGCAGAGGGACTCGACCTCCATGGCAGTGCTAAGATGTGAGGTTAGAGGCAGGACCCCAAACCCAGTGTCCGACCCTGACAGTGCTCTCCTTACGGAACTTTCTCCCCTTTCCTTGTCCCACACAGCCACCTCGTCCCATACTTGCACAAACCTCAGTCTACTCCATTGGCTTTCTGAGAGTACAACAACGAAAGCTCACTGGCAGACCCTGGGGAGAAGCCCTGGAAAGGAGAGTCTCTGTGGTCTGGGCCATTCCAGGCTGCAAGGAACCAGGTGGAATCTTCTGGACTTCCACAGCCCACTTTCCTTGTCGTGGTCAACTTGCCTGTGCACAAAGACTGCATCTGATAGTGTTGTTAGGTCTAGGTTGCTCTAGGAGGGCATGGGGAAAAAAGCTGCAGAAAAAAAGAAAGACTTTGCAGGAAAGCCCGAGGCAGGAACCTTGGGCACATCTGTAAACCCAGGGAAGGAGGTACAGGGAAGGCATTTAAGATACCTCGACTCTCCAAGGTGCCGTCACTTGGGTACCAGCCCCACCTCCCCTCACTCCCTGATGCCAGGCAGCATCCTAAAGATAGGTAAAGAGAGGGCAACACTGCCTACCCCATGAACAGAAACTTGGCTCTGGGGCAGGACTTAGTGACACCACCCCACAGGCCTGTCCGCACAAGGCCTGAGGGCTTCTAGGTGTGGCAGCATATTCCCCCTACCCCTTCACAAGCTGCCCCAGCCGCAGGCAGGACTGGAAGCTGAAGCTGGGGTGCCCGCGCCTTTAGTGTAGTTCTGACACAAGCTTTCAGCACTTGGGTGTGCCAGCTGCCATTCTTTTCAACTGCAAGCAACTCTTCATCTTGGCTCTTCTGTCCTCTGGCAGTAAAGTCTTTTCCAACTCAGAGCTGGAATCCGGAAGGCAATGAGAGGCTGTCTCATCTTGCCTGCATTGCTCTCGGCCTCCTGCCCTCTAGTCATAAGAGGTAGGTGTGATCACTGGCAGTTTGGCAGTCTGACCTCAGGCAAGTTTCCTCTTCCGGTACGGTAACAAACATGTAAGGAAGCACCAGGCACATGGGACCACTCCATCATTTTTTTTTTTTGATGGGGATGGTGTGGTGGGTAAACAGTTCAATTTTAAGGATATATTTATTTTAATGGAGGTACTGGGGATTGAACCCAGGACCTTGTGCATACTTGGAGCACGCACTCCACCACTGAGCTCTACCCTCCCCTTCCCCTACTTGCTGATGAAGCTAAGAGCTTCTGAATCCTTCCCCAGGAGTCCACCATCTTGCACCAATTCTTAGTTGTACACTTGTTCTTTTGTAATTTAAAAACAAAAGTCATGGACTATTACCCTACATGCCTGAGCGATTTCAGTTCTGGCTAAAGACTGCTACCAAATGCCAGAAGTCTGCACTCTTGAGAGCCTGTTCCAGGTCCTTTCCACCGGCCATGCTGCCCACACCACCTCTGCTCTGCTGAGGCCAAGAAGCAGCACAGCACCTGGAGAGCCCTGCCACCTGGCCCTGCTGGTCCCTGCAGCACCATCACTCCACTCCGAACTTCTCCCTGTCCTCCTGCGATACCAGCCATTATGAACCGGGGTGCTGGGCTCTAGTCCAGTTCCCCCTCCTCAGCTCTGCGTGCCACTCACTCAAGATTTAGTTCTTTTTAAATTTTTTTTCTTGAGGTATATAGTCAGTTTACAATGTTTGTGTCAATTTCTGGTACAGCACAAAAGATTTCGTTCTTAATGAGGCCCTTCTCCCCTGGAAACCTCATGCAGAGGTCCTAATTAGAGTACTGTGTTCCTCAGGAAATAGGTGAGCAGAACACATAAAGAAGACTATTTTATTCTTTGACCTGATGCTGTTTTAGGGCAGTTTTTTCAAGAGTGGGAAGGTACCAGATGCCCTAGAAATCTGATGCATCCATCTGGGACAAGAAGACAAAGACTGACGGCAAGAGTGAGGCCAGGAAACTTATCTCTCAGGGGTTCTCTGGACTCCAAGGACCAGCCAGGGGTGTCCGTGGTCGTCCTCCTTGGTCATCTGTGCCACGGTAAGAGAGGCACGTGGTGCCCGGTGAAGGAAGGGCTACCAAGCTACGTCTTGCACTAACTCAGGCTTTCCACTCCTCTCTTCCCGCAAACATTTCCCTTGGCAATTCCCGACTCCCGGATAAAGGGATGCCATTTCCTTTGGGAGTCAGGCAGATTAGCTTTGACCAAGTGTAGATGTGAAGAGCTAGAAAAATATCACCCACCTGTTCTTAAAAACTGTGGGCTATGTTTCAAACAAGACTTGGCTGAAAAAGGTGACTTCTGGTTTTAAATGCATAGGCCTCAATCAGCCTCACCTCCCAGCCTGGCTTCAGTAAGCAATAAGGGCCACACCCCACAACCATGGAGGGTGGACAATCCGGTCTTGGCTGCATCAGCTTCTGTCCATGTGTCAGGGGACTGGAGGGGGAGACCCCACACGTGTGACACGCACTCATCTCAACCCTATGAGGTATTGGCGTTACTCAGGCCACTTATTGGACCAGAAAATGGAGGTTCAGAGAGATGAGCTGTGGTCAAGGTCACATAGCTGGTAGATGTCCAGGCAGAATCTGAATTCCAGTCTTTGGAATCCTACCTTCCCCTAAAACAGTCCATGTTACTCAGGACATCCCCGCCGCCCGCCCTCAGGAGCAGGTGGTGCGGTTTCCTGCTTTTTTTAACATGAAGTTTGGAGTTTAAATTTTCCTAAGGAGTTATTAAAAGAAAAGACCTTCAGCATCTTCTTTGACAAACCAAAAATTAAAGAATTACTGAGGTGGGAGCATATCTGAAGTTGATTTTTAAGTTTGAGAAGAGGGAAATGGCTGAAGGAAAAAAAAATCCCTAATTCAGCAATAACATACCCTAAAGTTCAGCCTGACACTATATCAGTAAGTAGGAATCCCATACAGGAGGGAGGACATAAGGGGAGAAGCCCAGTGGAACCGAGAACAGAACTGCCCAGGGCCTTGGTGTCCAACACCGGCCAGCCTCTTCAGAGAGTCCCACAGCCCCCAAGGTTCACAGGCAGGCTGGTGGCTCTCTCCACCGTGGGGATGAGACTGGCGTGGGAGGTACTGGCTGGGCCTGGTGGGCTTCGCAGCAGAACTGAGGGGAGGCAAGGGGTGTCATCTTCACCAGCCTCTCTCAGGACCAACTTGTATTTTTTTATTTGTATTTTTTTAAGGGCAAATTTTTAAAAGTGAAATGAATGAAACCACATGGGATCAAGATACAAAGACAGAAATTTGATGTAGAAAAAAGATCTCACTGGGAAACAGTTGAGAAACACAAGAACATTCACAGACAAGCTCACGTTGTAAACAGGATTATGCTGCTCTACGCTCCCCATCACATCAGGGTTTCATTTTGCTCAGCCTGAGATCTCGCTCAATTTCAAACTGCCTGTGATCCACTCGGTCTAGAAAAGCCTTCCGTTCAATGTACCTGGAAGGAAATGAAGACGTCTGTCAGCATATCTAGTAAGAGAAAATGTCTCGTCTGCACCTTCCCGTCCCCCCAGGTGTGAACGGGTCCACTTGGCCAGTGGGATCATCGGGTTACAGCAAACACGAACAGATGACCCCAGGTGGTGCCCAGAGTGACCACCATGACTCTCCAGAAATCTGATTCAGACCACTCACATTTGGTCTCAACAAGGAAGTTTCTGGTTCAGATGTGAATTAAAATAAAATGACAAGGAGAAAGCAACAGCTTATCAAAGGGAAAGTATACTAGAGGCTGGAGGCAGGGAAGTGTTGCAGTTTTGTAAGCAGGTTTTAAGGAGGGAAGAACACGTGCTCAGTCAAGCCCAGGTTCACAGCCTGGCTCTGTTACAAGTTAGCTGGGCCGTGCTGGTCAAGGACCCAACATCTCTGAGCATTATTCTCAGCAGCAAAACAGTGACACGGTGTATCCTCACCTTGGTGGTGTGCTGAGCTGGTGCAGGAGAGAAATCTATGTACCCTGCACACATACATCCTACTGTGGGAAAAGGTGTGTCTGAAAAGGGGATAAACAGGGAAGTAAGAACTACTCTGAGGACTGCAGTGAACGTAAAGTGAGCTGAGGTGCACATGGCGCTCACTGTGGAAGGGATTTAACTGTCTGCAGCAATTTCCCTCCCCTCACCCTTCCCTCCTCTCTGTGTATCCTCCACCCACAGGGGCCAGGTGCTTTCACGAGGATGACAGGAGAGGCCTTTCCCTAAATTTCTCCAAGGGAATAAGATCAAGTGCCTCTGTCGCCCACAGCCCACATTCAGGGTCCCCTAAAAGACCCAGCTGGAAACACAATGGCAGGGCCTGCTTGTAGGTTTGATGTCAGCCCTCATGGTCAGGTTGTCAGATTTAGCAGGTGAGTACAGGATGCCCGGTGAAATTTCAATTTCGAATTCCCTGGCAGATGGGGAAGCCACAGACACTGTGGGCCTCTTCTGATAAAGTGAAAAAACGGGAGATTGTGCTGGGAAGTAGACACACAACAGAACAAAGTCACCTTCCGTCTATCACCAAGGGACCCTGACTCTCCAGTGGTGGTTACTGACTCAAAATCGAGGATGGGCTTCGTGACACTAAAACCATCATCCCTTCCCAGCCCACCGGCTCTGGGAGAGGATCGTTGCAATGTTAGTGGTTTGATGCAGGGTGCTTTAACTGCCCCTTGAAGTTCCAGCTCAAGAAAGGGGTGAGCTGTGGTACGAGAGGACTTTAGGACCTGTTTCAAGAAAGTCATTACCCAGGGCTACCTGTCTGAGAGAGTGGACAAGGGTGAGCATTCGGGGTCCTTCTTTTCGACTTTCCTTTAAAGAAGAGGAAATGATACTTAAATTTGGATGCTCACTGAGCATGAATAATGACCTTGCAGGTTCCTGGAAGCTGTGCTGGGTCCAGCTGACCTTGAGAAGATCAAAAGTAAGGCCAGGCTGGGTGCTAAACAGGCAGGTGCAGGCTGAGTTCAGGTTTAGGGAAGGCCTCAGGCAGCAAAGAAGGACACAAGTACAGAATGCAACCGAAGTCTCAAGGGCACCCTAGACAAAGGCAATCAAGGCAGGTTTGGCAACTTCATCCGCTCATTTGCAGCACCTACAGCTGTTGACAGGATCCCTGCGATGGCTTTGGTTTACTGCCAAGAGCTGACCAGGAACAACACTTCCACAGGACATGGACTCCGTCGCCACCGAGAGAGAAAAGGTGCTGAGGATGAGACTGACTCTAACGTTTACTATGTTTGTGACTGTGGGCAAACCTGGTATTCAGTTTTTCTTACCTCTGTAAAACAGGAATAAAGTTACAATACCCCTCTGACAATGCAGGGGCGAGACTGAGAGAAGTACATTGTAAACAATAAAACCAAAAATGGCTCTGAGCAGTGTGGGGCTCTTATGTCCCACTTCTGACCTGACTGTATCACTACAAAGCCTCAGAACCAGGACAGCTGGAACAGGGGCCAAGGGACCAAATGCTCCAGAAGAAGAAGGGCTCATGCATAAGGCTGCCTCCTCCAAGGTGGCTGGAGGGGATGCCCTATTTAAACTGGGTCTCAGGAAATTTTCTGGCACCTTAAGCAGGTTATAGTCCCAGAAGAGAACCACCAGCTGACAGATGCAGGGTTCTTTTCTGGTCTGTGCCCAGCACTCCTGGGGACCCAGCCTCCACAAGCAGGACCATCCCTTCCCATCACTAATGCCTCATGTGGCCCATTTAAGAGGCAGCAGCTCTTCACTGTCATTAATAAAATGTGCTAACAGCATCAAAACCTGAGTGATTTTCTAAGCTTTTCCTTTCAGAACCAGGTTAGACACAGCAGGCTGTGATCCTTTTAATCTTTCAACCCAAATTACTTTCACTGTAGGTCATCATCCACCCATCGGTCAGGGAAAGAAAGAGCACAAGGAGGTGCAGGGACCATGAAGCAGGCACAGAGCTGAGGACATCTGAGGGCTGAATTCTTACTCTGCTCTGGGCAGAGCCAGCAGGCACTCCGTAGAGCACAAACCCGAGGAAGGCAGTGAACCAACACCAGAAAGTGACAGGCAACACAAGCACTCATAGGCTGGAATAAAGCTCCATGATGGATGTAATAAGAGACGTACTTTTTTGTCCTGAGAAATGCAAGGGAAAGAAGCAATCAGCCCAATATCGCAGGAGCCTCGTGGAAGAGGAGGTGACTTGCAAATGCCTCCAGGGCCAGAGTGATTTTAATTAAGTTTCTCCTCCACTGCTTTCCTCCCATCTCACCTCAAGGTTGTGCTGGTTCTGAAAGAGTGACTTTTGCAGGTCAAGGAGATAGATTCTTCGGAGAGAGAAAATTATTTTCTCTGGTCTCTCCTTCATGTCGTCCCAAATAACAAACACACATGGTTTCCAAACACGGGGTTCCATGACCTTCAATTTGATTGCCAGCAGCAGCCAAGACCAAGCCTGTCCTCTCATTCTCTCTGCATTGATCCTTCCCTGAGCCTGTCGGCCCCCGCCTCAGCAGTGTGGGAGAGGCACTGCTGATGGTGAACACTGCCGGGGAACCCGGCATGATCCGTTACAAGGCTAGAGGGAAGCAGTGCTACTGCCATGAATGCAGACTGCAAACATCAATCCCGAATTGCGGGACCTCGCCCTGGGAATCTGGGGCTCAGAGGAAAAGCAGTGATTTTCTGCTGTGCAGCTGACTGTCTTTAGTACAGGCATTTTAAACAACTCTGCTGACTGAAAATGATGCCCGGGTGGAAACATCATTCTGATATATCATGACCTTTGTTCCTTGGGGGTTAATTCTAATCTTACTAGGTTCCAAAACAAAGCCATGTCTGTCTGATAGTGGGATGGGCATTTGCACAGCGCCATGGCTCAGCACCTGCTCCAGATGCTCCTCTGGGTGTGGGTGAGGGGTGAAGCAGACCCTGCCCTCGGGGGCTGACTGTATATGAAGCAAAACACACTGACACACCTGATCAGTTGACAGTGAGTGTGATGAAGATCAAACAGGGTGGTGGGACTGAGGGTTCCTAGGGTGGGGCTACTCCAGACACTGGCATCTGAGTGACAAACAAGAGCCCACTGTGGACAAGGACGTGAAGGAGCAGTGCAGAGACTGGGCTGCTATAAGCAGGGGAGAAGAAGGTAAGAGGTGGGCATGGGACAGCTCAGGGAGGGCCCGGGACACCAAGGGAAGGCGGTCAACACTGATTTCAAGTACTACTAGAGGGCTTTCAACAGGGAAAAGCTGACAAATGGTTTGTATTTTTTAAAAAATCAGGTTGGCTGTGATGAGAACGGAGGAGAGTGGAGGAGAGCGAAGGAGAGGTACATATCGAGAAGCAGGGAGTAGAGCAGATGCCCGGGGCTTGTCCTGGAGAGATGGCAGGTGTGCTGCACTGAAATTCTATCTTATGATAGAAGTGTCTAGTGACTTTCAGGATGTGAGTGGAAAGAGGATAACTTCTAGGGTTTCCTTTCATTAGCTGGGTGGATGACTTTCTGAGATGAGTGGTGCCATTTTCTGAGTAGTCTGAGGAAGAAGTTTGCTTATGGAAAGAAACCAAGTACAGGTTTCTCCCGCTACCTGAAAGTAGAACATTCCCATGACATCTCTCTGAGCTGAAATGGTGTCAAGTTATCTTTTTTGTGAAAACAAAAATCCTCTTCAGGTTTTTTTTCAGTTAGTGAGAACATGTAGAGCAATATTAATGCAGGTCTTTCATAAAAGCCAAGTGGTGTAAAGTGAACTTTTGAAAAGAGAGGGATACCTGTATTTGGTTTTGGACATTAAGTTTGATATGTGTCTGGGACATGCAAATGGAGATGTCAACTAAACAGCTGATACTGGAGTCTGGAGTTCAGTGGGATGGTCGGTCAGGCAGGGGATGGCTTTTCTGGAGTCATCAGCAGAAAAGTACCTAAGCCGTGGAACTAGTGTGCTTTCCTGAGGGAGAGAATGTGAGGAGAGATGGCTGCTTAGCACTCAGCCCTGGGACTTCCCTACTTTAAAAGCCCAGAGAAGACAGGCCAGCCAGGCAGACTGAGAGGAGACGCCCCCAAGCTGTGCTGGCCACAGTTGTGGGAAGTATTCCTGAAGGGCAGGCGGGAATATACCAGGAAGGGATTTAGAAGAATAAAACACCTGGCCTTCCAGTGATGCCCTAGACTTGGCATGGTCAGTATTGGCAGATAGAATAAAGAAGAGTGGGCAGGAGACTTGGTGTGGGGGGGTAGGGTGTGGGAGAAGGGAGGGGAATCCTATCTATAAACATGCTACACATTCCCCTACTCATTTAATTCCCATAATAAACCTGAGAGTATAGTGAAGTTTCTACTTCAAGGATGGAGAAAGGGGGCTAGAGCACACGACAGGTTGGTAGTAGAAGCAGGATATGAATTCAACTTCAACTCGGCTTATTGTAAAATAAAACACACACACACACACACACACACACACAGAAAAGTGAGTAAAATGGGCAAGGCAGATGAATCATAAAGCAAGCATACATACGGCCATCACTAGGTCAAGAAGGAGAACGTGGTAGCCCCCAGGAAGCCCCAGCAGAACTCCCACCTGACACCCACATCCATCACCCAAACCCAGACAGGTGTGTGCTTGCCCACATTTCCTTGCTTTCAAGTTTCTGTTTCTTCAGCACTGCAGTCTGGTTGTGCCTAATTTTGAACTTGACATAAATAGATATATTTATGCATTTTTTGTGCCTTGATTCTTTACAAACTGACCTAATGGACACGTATTTACCTGTTTTTGACCTTCATATAAATGGAATTTAAACGCATAAATAAAATAAATGGAATCATATACACGAACTTCTTTGTGCTATTATGTATTGAAATTTATCCACATTCATTCCAATTGCTAAAGAGTATCCCAGTGTGTAAATGTATCACACATTGTCTAATATACTATTGATGAAAACAATCTATAAAGAGGAGACTTTCATCTTTTCCTACGTTGTCCTCGAGGGGGCTTAACTTCCACCTTCATAGTTTTTGTCTTTTTGTCTCTGAATTATATTCTGGATAATTTCTTTGATTGTTTTTCAGTTCACATATACTCTTTTCTGCTGGGCCAACTACTATTAAATCTATCCATTTCATTTTTAATTATGGTTATTATATTTTTCATTTCTAGAAATTCTGTTGCATCTTTTTCAAATCTGCTAGGCCACTTTTAGAGTTTCTTCTTGTAACTATTTTCAAGTTTCTCTGCTTTTTTAAATACAGGAGGCTTAATTGTATCAAAACCTGCATCTGATATTTCCACTGTCTAAATTCTTTGCAGACCTGATCCTGTGCCTACTGTTTCTCAAGGCGTTTTGCTTCTTGTATTTTAAGATAGCAAAATGCTCTAAAAAAATTGGACAGTAATAACCCAATACTGACCAATGTAGCTTCAAATTCTATCAAAGCTTTATAAGGGGAAAGATAGGATAGAACTTACTGAAGCAGGATTACTACCAAAACACAAAAAGCATGACAATCTTTTAACCCCAATCTCATCTTATTTTAATCAGAACTGTATTATAGGGATATTTTTATCACCATTCATGATCTAGATTCTCGTATATGAGAAGAATTTAAATACAGTGCATGTAAAAAGGTCACAGTCTCGTAATAAATAGGGCAGAGGCCAATCATTACTCATAGGTAGCTTTTTTGAGATGCTATCAAATATGACCTTCCCTTCGATGTTTTAGCAGAGATCACTTTTGTTCTAGAGTACTACCTCTTGGCATGTGATTCCCCATTTATTCCCTCAGAGTAGACTCTCCCCAGGTGGCCTCTGCCCTTGTGGGCATCTGTGTAAGAAAAGCTGGGGCTGGACCAAACAGACCTTACAGGTTTGGTTCCTGTGCTTCCCTCCCTTCGACACTGCAGCGCTGGGCACACTTCTCAATAGATATCTTGCCCTTCTCGATAGCCTGCTCTGAAAGTTGGCTCTCTAGTTATATATGTGCTGGAAAGGCGTGCCCAGCAGCTGATTGCTCTCATTTTTAGAATCTTAATGCTGTGGTCTAGTGATTCTCAACCCTGGCTGTGCATCAGAAGCACATGAGGAGTGATTTAGAGATACAGGTGTCTGTGACTCATTTTTAAAAAACTGAGGTATAACTGATTTACAATATTATATAAGTTTCAGGTGTACACAATTTTCAGTGATTCACAATTTTTAAAGGTTATACTACATTTATAGTTATAATAAAATACTGGCTATATTCCCCATGCTATACAATGTATCCCTGTAGCTTACTTATTTTATACATAGTAAGTTGTACATCTTTATCCCCTACCTTATCTTCCCCCTTCCCTCTCCTCACTGGTAACCACTAGTTTGTTCTCTACATCTGTGAGCCTCTTTGTTTTATTCCCTAGTTTGTTTTATTTTTTAGATTCCACATGTAAGTAATATCATATAATGTTTGTCTTTCTCTGTCTGACTTACTTCACTAAGCACATTACCCTTCAAGTCCGTCAATGTTGTTGCTAATGGCAAAAGTTCACTCTTTTTTATGGCTGAGTAGTATTCCCTTATATATCTATACCACACAGATATCTCTGACTTCTGATTCAGCAGTGCACAGAGGTGGTCTGGTCATCTGAACTTTGGAAACACCCCCAGAAGATTTGCATGCTTAGCCAAGGTAAGAAGCAGGGCAATAGTTCCTTCCCTAGAGCAGGGTTGGGCCGTTTCATCTGCCAGCAGGAACTAGGAGAGACAAGTGAGTGGAGGTGTCGGGTGGGGGCGGGCACTGGAGAGGGCAGGTGAGAAGAGCCAAAGGCAGAACATCGAAGTCATCAGATCTGCTTTGGAAAAACACAATCAGATCCGTGGAATCATCTGGCCGAGGCAGGGGAGGCTCAGAGAAGAGAGAAAAGCAGCGCTTAGAAGTTGCATGCTATTAGTAGTTCCTTAACCCAGTTAGGTGACTTTCCAGTCTGGAAAGTCCTCACTGGGCAGATGGCCTTTTTAATTTTGTTTTCTCTTCCAGCCTACATTTTATTCTCTCTCCCTTATCTTCAACAGCACGGCTCCTTACTTTTACAAGACCTTTATTAACAGAATGAACACTGTCTAACCCATATAACCCATCCTCAGAGAAGCAATAAAGTCTGGCACACACTGGCAGTCCCTCTGCCGCCTCAGACCAGCAGGTGAACGTGGAGAAGAGGCAGGAGCTGAGTTACTAGGGCCGGCTCAGAGGGGGCGCTTCAGGGCGTGTGGCAGAGGCCTTTTCTGGGTAACACTGACTCATACCTGTGCTTTCTTGTGGGCCTTCCACAGATACTGTGGCACTTCTCTGTCTGTCCTGTGGCAAATCATCTTTGACAGACTGACTTAGAAGCCTGGTAGTTAAAAAAGCTCATGAAATCATTAAAAAAAATTTTTTTTCACATACTGATCGGCTTCTAGGTTCATTCAAATACTCTTGAAGCCTAATTTAGAAAAATGACTCCCCAAACAAAAACCGCACCTGTCTTTATTGTAATTTAGCTTATAAATAACCTGAAGGACTACCCCTTTAATACACACCTTTATGTGACAGTGACAGGTGCTCTGCAAAGGGCTTTATGTAGACAGGCATGCCTCATTTTATTGCGCTTCACTTTACTGCACTCTGCAGATTCTGTGGGTTTTTTTTTTTAAACAAATTGAAGGACTGTGGCAACCTTGTGCTGTCAGATGATGGTTAGCAAATAAAGTATTTTTAAATTAAGGTATGTATCTTGCTTTTTAGATATAATGTTTAGCAAACAACAGTATAGTGTAAACATAACTTTTACATGCAAACTTTTGGGAAACCAAAAAATTTGCATAACTCGCTTTACTGCAATATTCGCTTCACTCCCGTGGCCTGGAACCTGGCCTGCAGTATGTCTGAGGTCTGCCTGTGCTACGCACATATAGGTATGATACATATATCACATATAGTGTCTCATGAGGGCCACACAACCACCCTGAGGGTGGTATCATTACCCCAGCTTTACTGGCGAAGAAGCTGAGCCTCAGGGATGCTCACTGACTGCAGGGAAAGCCTTGCCGGAGAGGCAGGCCGGCGGAGCAGCAGGGCCACCTGATGGGCATGATGCTTCCTCAAGGGCAGGGAGCATGGACCTTGTGCCATGGACCCACCTCTGCAGCAACTCTGTTCTTGGCCCCTCTGAGGTTTCTAAGTACTCACTGAACAGTTTTTTTCTGGATGTCCCTGTACACACAGTCACGAACATCCTCTTTGTATTCCAAAGTGAAGAGGAAGAAGGTGCACGTTATGGCATGGATGCTGTCTGAGGGCTAGTGTGTTACACAGGCTGAAGCCATAACGACATGGACAAAAACATCCCACAATAATGTGACAACATCTCGGCACTCTTCTGGCTCTGTTTCTGACACACTGGCTTCTCAGGTCAAATAATTCAGATGAGGCCAAGGCTGATACAGTGAGCCAGGTCTGACCACATGAATAAACAAGGTGACTTACAGTTCATGGGGGTTGTAATTCAGCAAATCCAGGCTGGCAGACGTGACTGTTCTCGAGAGAAGAGCTGCTCACATGCCTTCCCACCCCCTTCCTGTCACTCCAGTGTTTTCCTCGCTGACAGGACCCACCCACATTAGAACTCAGCTTCAATGACAAACCATAGAGTTCACATTTTTCATTTCATTGTGAAAAGCTTCTGCCTGCCTAAATTTGGTGGCGTGTGTGCAATGAATGATTTCAGAGTTTTTAGGATTTTCAGAGGAACAAAATTGCTAGTTCTTACCCTTCCTTCCCTCGATTGTGGATGGCGAGCTCTTCGCCAATGCCCTCTTCTTCCTTGAAGCTCTCCCAGTCCAGCTTGGACTTCTCCAGGGTGCTCATCTTCTGCTTCTTGGCTCCAATTTTCCCCAAAAGATTGCTCATGCCACTTGATCTCTTTAATCTAGGGAAAACAAAGACATGAAACATGTAGCATGTTAAAAACTCTCATTTCTTGATTAATGGTTTTTCTGATTGGCACAGAAAAATCCCCTAGATTCGAGCTACTTATCTTAATGGAGCCATGTCTGCACCCAGGGTACTTCCTGTCTGGTGTGGCAAACACCTTAGGAGACTGCCTCTGACTGCTCTAACGACTGAGGATAGGAAATCCTGAAGCCCTCTGTATGCCCTGCGTGACAAGCAGGTCTCTGCGTGCAAGGAGGGAGAAGCACAGCATGATTCAGACTTGGTTTTAGAATCACGTGCCTTGGTTCATATTCTAGCTCTAACCGTGTGACTTTAGGCTAGTTGTTTAACTGCATCTGCCTTGGTTTCCTAATCTACAAAGTGAACACTTACTCATGAGGCTGGAGTGTATCTTACATGTAAAGTGCTTAAAAGAGCACCTGGCACAGAGTAAAGGTGCAGTAAATGTTACCCATCCTGAATCACTGTCATCAGCTGAGCACTAAAGCCCCAGGGAATTCTTTTAAGAGAAAGAGAACCAGATTCCAACACTGATGAGCAAGAGGTCATAGTATCTTAAAAGGACTCTAAGATCAGTTTCTTTTCAACTCCTGTGAGTCAGGGCCCTGGTTTTTCCCAGGAGGTGGAGAACATTCCTCATCCTAAAAGCAGGGAATTTATAGCCTGCGTTCTACTTGCTGATGATGCTATCATGGACAGTGGGAGAAAACCCACATGCCCAAGTGTTTTCAAGTCTTGGCAGGTCAAATGTTTCCTGTCAACATTAAATGTATGTGATAAAATAAGAAAAACAGAATGCAGCTAGTAAGAAGGTGGTACTAGGGGAAGGAATTATGGAAGGAATGTGACTTTTGGTCTCTTTAGAAAGGAAAACAAGTTATATACTAGCATACAGGAAACTAGCAGTCATTTTCTGTTTTACTGGGATATGCAAGAGTTAAAACATTTAAAAACTCTATAAGCTAACATCACAAGGTATACTGACAACACTGATAATAACACGTCTCACTTGCCTAGAAGGCTAATTCTCCAAGCACTTTCATGAGCATTTTCTCATTTATTCTCATCACTGCCTGTGAAAGAGGACCACTGAGTTTCAGGAGGAATCTTTTAAGACGATCTCGTGTCTCTCGTGTCTCACCAGCCATTCTGAAATCCCACCTCTTGCAGCATAGTGCTGGGGAAGGATGGCTCACTACCTCTGCCCTGGAGTGAAGTGAGAAGCCAATGTCCACACTGAATACAAGACTTTAGGGGCTGAAGAGTTACCCACTATGCTCTCATTCTATTCATGCCAGTGAAGAGGATGTTAGCTTCCCCGTCATGGTCACATCCCACTACATATTTCCAGCTTAAGATCAACTCAGAGGAGGCTGGGTCGGCACCATCATCCTCACTTTGAGTTAGATAAATAAACAAAGTGCAGAGAGGCTACATAATACAACAAAGGTCAAACCAATAGAAAATGCAGATCCAGGATGAAGAGGTCTTTCAGACTCCCAGTGTGGTGCCCTGCGCTGTCTTACCTTTAACGTGAGAATTCACTTAAGAGCTTTTCTGACAGCTATTTTACTCCCAATTTGCTTAAGAATTTTCTGAACAGCTCTTTATGAGCCTTCAATTCATAGCTTCTAAAAATTACTTCCCAGACAACTCAGTCCTTACCACAATCTCTCCATCAGTACACAGACTATATGTGACCAAGAAGAGATCATGAGTGGGGATGTGGAAACTTACTATGGTTCAAATCTCTTCATGTCTCACCTGCCTCACTGCCGTTGCCCTGGTTCTCATTTTACATTCTCTCTCCTGGATAATTCAGTGGCCTCCTCACTGGTCTCCCTGACTTTCATTCTGTCCCACCTTCACTTACCTGCTCCAACTGGCTTCCACTTCACATGCTGTCATTAGAGTGGATTTTCTAATATAAAGCTTATCCTGTCTTTCTGCTTAAATGTCTCCTCCTGGACCCTCTGTTGCTCTTACAATAAAGTCTAAACTCCGCCACTTGCAAAGTTCTTCCTGATCTCTCTCCACATCTGCCTCTGCAATCTCTGCTCCAGCCATACACTCCCCACGCTGCACTTCACCTCCCCCTGACTCCCTCCCATTCATCTGTTCTTGTCTCAACCTAGAAATCACTTCCTCCAGGAGGCTTTCCTGGACCCCTCCCCCAACCTCTGGATCAGACACCTCCTGCAGGCGTTTCTATTGCACTCCAGTTCTCTTTGTATTATAGCACCAATCCTTGTGTAACAGATGCTTGAGGACTCTAATTTCAGCTGCCACCACACTGGTCAATTCTGAGGAAGCTCAGAACCACAGCAGACAATATCCCACCAAAAACACATACCTGGAGACTTTCCATTTCTGGCTGCAGGGTCTCCTTTGACCCTGCCTACATGTCACAAGCACTGTGGTGGAGTTCATGCCATTAGGGTTCACCCTCATGGGGACAGGAGCTGGTGGCTAAATGACCCAACCTCTTGTCCTCACACAGGCAGTTCTGGGAGGCATGCTGGATGCTTCTCGGAAGTTCTGGTGGCATCAAACCCTCGTGACCTTGGAAGTGCACTCTTGTATTGGCTTTTCCTCCTTCCCTGCCTCACTTTCCCCACCCTCTTAACTCCTGTTTCCTGGGAAGCCCTCTCAAACAAACTACCTGCACTCAAAGCCTTACCTATGGTTCTGCTTTGCAGGGACTCTAACTAAGAGGTTTAGCAGAAACAAGATTTTCCTGTGCCACTCTATCTCTCTGCAGAGACTTAAGTCCTGGGCCTCCAAATCTCTCTACAGTACACAGATACGGTTCTGCAAACAGTGGATGCTCAGTAAAGCCAACAACGTCACCTAGGTCACAGAACCAATTAGTGGGAGAGAATCAGACCTTTGTAGAGTAAAAGGTGCTCAGAACACTTTAAATTGGGGAATTCTAAGGGGAGGAATTTCCACTTGTATTTGCCAATCAGCTCTCAGCAACCCAGGGTTCCCCATTTTATCTGGGCAGCACCACAGCTTTGTACACCGTCTCTCCCCCTCTTCGTCTACAGCTCTGACGGTATTACCAGATTATTCCATCTTTTCAACAAATCACTCTGAGAAATCTATTGGAAAATGATTTTTGCTGCATAGTGGTGAAGAGGGTTCTAGGGAAGGAAAAAAGTCCAATCCCCCTTTGCTTTGTTCACTATTTTTTTGTTGTTCAAATTATTTTTAATTGTATAAAATGGGTCTTTTCTCAACTTTGATGCTGCTATGGACTGAACCCCTTGGGTTATTTCTTTCTTTTTAAAAATTATTATTATTTTTTAAATTTTATTTTGTTGTTGTTGTTCACTATTAAACATCAGCAAAATGTCACCTGTGCTATTATGCTCTGGGTCTGCCTGTGCTGGATCATCAACATGGTTTATGATTTCCTAATCTGATGGTCTCAAAAGGAAAACTACCCATCTTTTATTTGAGGCTAAATCAAAGTGGAATGATACATTTACAGTAGCAGCCAAAACATGCAGAGGCGTATCGTCACTGAGATGGACACTTTCTTCCTGGAAGCTGGCATTTCACACTCACTTCCCACCTTGACATGGGGCTCTAGTTGTGCGATCCTGGCATCATTCCATTGCAGCTATCAGAAAGACAGATCTACCCTGACCTTGGTCCCATCTCTGCTGTTAAGGTTCATCAATCAGGCTTTCAGGAAAGCTGAGGCAGATGGGAAGAGTCAGCTTCTGGGCAGTGGCTGCTGGCTCTGCGCTGTGAAGGAACACTGCAGAGAGCACCGAGGCTGAACAGCTCTCTCCCAGAAGTGCCGCTGCACTAGGCGGGAGTTAGCACTGGTGTCCCACGGAAAACTGGGGAAGGGGAAGGTCAGAATTCCCTTGGAGACTTCTCTGCTGTCAGCAGGAACCAGTGCAGTTTAAGGCATCAGAGCAACAGAAACACTGACTTCTCTTTGTTCTGGATCCTAAGCCATAAAGGCAAGGGACCACCAGAAAGTCAGCTCTGACAGCCCACCCCTCACCTAGCTGTGGATTTTCGGTCTTGGGTTTTTTTTTTGTTTTTT